AATAAAGAAAAACCCCCCAAACAACAAGAAAAAAAAAAAAAAAAAAAAAAAATGGCAATGAAAAAACAAAATACAAGCTAACATTTAGCTTTTGAAAAATTCCCAACCACATCTCTATTGAGAATATGTGGATTAATCTTAAAAAGTCTGGTCAGTGCCATGAACCCAACCAATTTCAAACAGCTCTACCAAATCTGGTAAGAAGAGAGAAACTACTAATATTAGGTTAAAGTGAGTTTAGCCTAATATTAGCAGAGGGTATGCATATATTTGGCGTCATACGATACAAACAATCAACATGAAGGGTTTAAAACCAATTGAAGCTCCATGCAGAATGATGATTCTATGCTAAAGAAAAACCCAAACTGTTGAAATGTATAATTTAATGCTCAACATGCATATAGCATTCATTCTAATGATACATTCATGTAAACTTTTGACTGGTACTGTAAGTGTTTTATGTCTCTGATGTCTCATGAATAATAACCAAATGGAATCAGTCTGCTGAATATGTTGAAAGAATCCATCAAATGGAGGATTTTCCACTAACTGCCATATGTAAATACATTAAATGATCCTTTTTAAGGCTCCTGCTGTTAAGACGGTTCGTTTGCATTCTTAATTGGTAGCAATATGCTGCCAAGAGAAATATTGATAAAAAACGGAAAACTAAATATCAAAACAAACATTCTCGTATGACTTCAGTAGTCTTCAGCAGCATATTTTTTTTTCTTGGGTTCATACAAATTTCCTGAAACAACCTCTCCCAGGGAAAAAAAAAAAAAAAAAAAAGGAGCCGAGCGAGAGTGTGCACCTGCATCATCAGCCATTTTGCCTCATGTGGTGCATCTTGGTGCAGATGCTGTGAGGCTACAGGGGAATTTCTTCTTCTTCTTCTTCTTTTTTTTTCATCTGATTTGAGAATTCTGCGTACGGTTCAGTGCGCGGCGAGGCCGGGTCGGTTTTTGAACCGTTATATTGACTACCAAGCCAGCGGACACAGAACCTGTGAAGCGTGTACCGGTTTACTCAGACGGACAGCGAGGTCAAAGGAAGCCCGGCTCCCTTACAGCGGCGACACGAAGGCTCCCCAACCCTCGGAGTAAACAGCTGGGGCGCCATGCGCAGGCTGGACAGGTTTTCCAGCCAGTTTCTTCCTAGTGTGATCCAGGTGAGTGGAAAACCACTGAAATCACAACTTTTTAAATCAACTGTAGCTAATTCTTGTGGAGTTGTGAGAGCCAGGATTCGAACACAGAAGTTTTTGTTTTCTGCTCAATAACAGTGGTGACGCCAGTGCCAGTGCCTCATTGCAGTCTGTGAATTTAACAAATGTACAAATTTGGAATGTTATTGAGTACTTCCTTCCCACCCCCCTCCCCCCCCCCCAAAACTAAAATTTTGACCATATTTTTCACACTTTTTTTTATTGTGCCCACCTGTAGTTTCTGTTCAATCACCGTTTGTGTCTTTCTTGCCCAGAAATCTTTGGAGACATTGAGGATTTTTCTCTTTTGTAAGCAAGCAAAAAATTAGATGAATACACTTGTTTAACACAGCGATGTGTGGCAATAGGTTGGGGAGGGGGATAACTCCAATTGCACACTTTTTTAAAACTGAGTATGTTAGTAACTGTATAACAGTGTAATATTTAAAAAAAAAAAAAAAAACAACAACTATAAAACTGTACAATGTAAATTTGCCAGTACATTACAGTAGTAATGTTTTTCCCACTTAAGCTTTCACATTTTTGGGAACTTCAAATTTGGTAAAACAAACTTTCAAATTGGCCACATTCTTGTTCCGCGTCAGGGTTTACGACTAAGTAGTTCAGGACAAACACATTTCAAATGAGGTACAGTCACATCCAGTAATGCAAATTATGCATTCTGATTAGGTTTGCTTGTCAGATTAAATGTACATTTTGAAAATAAGAACCTTTAAGCAGGTATTAAACACTTTCACATTCTAATTATAATTTTAACTGTAGTTGTAGTTGCTGTTAAGTGGTAAAATTGTCATAATTAGCAGAAATAAAGGAGTGAAGTCATCAATCTGAGTGTAATTAATCCACATAATGTGAACTGACTTACTGGAATAAATGGAGTTTTCAATAACATTCTCATTTATTAAATATCACTGTATGTTTCAGTGAATTCAGTTGCTGTTTCTGATGTTTACTTGCATGCTTTGAAGCCGCTCCTCCTCCAGAAACTTGCTGAAACAGAAATAATAATTCAATTCAAATCGAATTAGAGTAATTACAAGCCAACGCTGCACTCCATCACACTTATCAACTGTCGCACATTAATACACTTGATTTAATTTAAATCTTTTTACACCCGATGTTTCTTAATTGCAGACTGCATCATGTGGAGGCCAAGTAAAATCCTCTTCTCTATTTGCAGAACGAGCACTCCAGAAACAGATAATCCTTCTGATCCTTTTAATCTTTCCAGATCTCTGGGAGTAATTCCTCTCCGTTATGAAAAATAGAAACCATAAACACCACCACTTACCTCCCCCCTCCGACCCCCCAGGCTTTCTTGCAACTGTGCGATATACCCTGATCCACAATTATTGCACAGTCCAGTGTTTTTTTTTTTTGTTGCATTTTTTTTTTTTTTAATCTCTATAAACTGTTTCCTTATTTCTATTACAGGTTGTTTATGTGCACGTAGTGAAACGCGCAGTAAAACCACCAGTCACCCCCGTGGTTCTGTTCTGATGACGGCAGCTCCCTCCATAATGGGCTGCTTCGCAAGGTGGGCCACTAAATTAATGGCTGTAAAACGACTCATCTCCAGTAATGCAAGCCGGCAACTTATTACAGCGAGGAGGGAAACGGGGATGAAATGGGGCGGCAGTGCATTCACCACAGTCATTTCGCCATTTTGCTCTTCTTCTGCTCCCTGCAGGACATTTTTCCTCTCCTGGAGTGGGAGAAAAAAAAGAAGAAGAAAAAAATAAAAGGGGGAAGAAAAACAAACCTTCTCGTGTCACTTACAATCCACTTCACTTGCAGGTTTACAAATTCTATTAGGATGATCTTCTGCATTGCTTGAAAATGCTGCAGCGGGATTAAAGGGGAGGGCTGCCTGTTGGGGGGGGGGGATAAGTGAACTCCACTTGCCTCCTCTTCAGAGGCTGGGCGATGGGGAGAGTAAGTGGAAAACATCGCAGCAGAAAGACCCCCCACCTATACTTTTATACACAAGCCCCCTTCCTCTCTCTCTCTCTCTCTCTCTGTTGCTCAGCGAAGCACCATTTCTCCTCTGTGGAAGGTAAATACAAATGTAGGCTATCAACTGGATCAGAACCAGGATTGACTGCCAGTGGTTAGCAACGTTGTCATGAAGCTGTGTTCGCCCCTTTATACATTTTGTGGTTAAATGTGTCAGGAACAAATATAAAAACAGTTTTATTTGTTGAAGAACAAAGCCGTCCAAATCAACCCGACTCTATGTGACAAAGTAATTCTTCACTAAACCTACAAACCTGGTTGTGGCAACCGTGACGACGACTCACATCAAATACTTTTCCTTTACAAATACTTTTGCTGTAGTTCTGGGTTTTTGAGAGCAAACAGTCTGCTAAAGGTCAAGTTCAAGTGTGAGTCTTCAATAGGCTTTTCAGAAATGTTGATGTTTATGTTTTTTCCATTGTTTGGATCTTTGTCCCGCTGCGTAACCCTCAACTGTTAAGGTCACAAATTGATTGCTGAATTTCCCAAAAATGGACGCCGTTTTCTTCCCACTTTCTTTCTTGTTGTTATATCGTCAGCACCGACCTTAACTGAGGTTTGTAGGACTCCAGGATTTTATTTAACCTGCTGGATGAGTCAGTGACATGTTTTTTTCTTCCCACTTTGAATTTCAAACTTTCTAACTTATTTCTGTGATATTAAACAGGAGGAGTCCCAGGATTAAACCTTGAGGTACTCCATATTTGACTTCTGTCTGCTCTGATGAGGTTATCTGGTGACACAAAGAAGTCCCTGTTCTTTAGGTAAGATTTAAACCAGTTAACTAATGGACCAGAGAGTTGAGGTTAGACTCTCCACTCAAGGTTGCTCAAAGGCTGTTATTTCAAAAGTTACTTTTATATGAACTCATTTTATTATGAGATGTAATAAGAGACTCATTGGGAGGTATTTAAGTCTTATTTATTGAACGTGACTAATTCTGCTAATGTCAGTCATCCAGGAAAATCTACACCCAGCCTGAGTAGAGATCTTGTTGCCGGTGGTGATGGAGAAAAAAAAAATACATAAGGATTATTTACAGTCACATTTAAGCCAAAATGAAATTAGACTGGAGAAGAAGAAAAAAAAAAACATGAACCAGATCCAAAGAGTATTTGACACACATCTGTTGTAGCTGAGTGAAAATCCAGCTTTAATTTCAAGCCGTCATTATTTATGAATTCGACGGAGCCGAAATACCGAATTCCCGACCTCGCGGTCCCTCCGAAGGCTCCCCATGACTTCATTATATTGGAATTGAGAACACATGTTCCTAACTGGCCTCAGTTATTTTAACATGAGCAACACAGACCTGATTCTTCCTCTTTCGCTTCATGGGGGCTGAACTAGACGTTGGATCGCTCATGAATTAGTAAATGTCGAATGTTTCTGCGCTTGGGCTGTGCTGCTTGCTTGAAGCGGTCAAAGCTTTGTGTTTGAGGAACAGTCTTGGTTTAATACTCGCACTGTTATTGCAGGAAGGAATTTGCAGATTTTCCTTTGGTTTCACGTTGATCAAGGAACCATGTAAGGTTTGTTATTTTCTGTTTCCATCCTCTTTCTCTGTCTCTCCATGAGGCTATATTTGGAAACTCTTTTATCGGCACAGATGTCAAATAGAAAATTGCTGTGCAGGAGTACAAGGATAAAAGAATACCACTGATATTCAGGGGGAGAGGGGAAAAAAATGCATATAGTCATCTTCTGAAACGATGGCAATAAAGGTCTATGATTACATTTTGGAGTTGAAATGTGCACTGAAAGGTCATGCGTGCTATTTCAAATGGGTGGACTTGCACAAAATGGCCTTAAGGACAACACATATCAGAAGCTGTTGTTTAAAAAAAACAAAAAAAAAAACTTTGATTCATCCGGAATGAATCAAAGTTTCCTCTGTTTTTCACCTTTATAAGCATCAAGCAGTTGTTTGGCACATGCCTTTCAGGACACATTAAATGTTACACTTTTAAAAATTTGTTGGAAGTTAGCAAAGCATCATCAGCGTGGCTAACTATTCTAAGTATATGTATTAACTCAGAATATCCTAAAGATATATATAAGAACTCAGGAATAAAGAATCAGAAATATGAATTACAATAATCTCCTCATAAAGGAATTTAGATTATTGAACTATCATTTTGTGCCAGGAATTAAAAACACACATAGCCATGTGGCTTTTGGAAACCATGGACTTAGCGTCTAAAACATCACATATATTTAAATTTATTTTATTTTTTTTTTAAGTACTACATTTATATTAATGCTTAACAAGGGATTACATTTTTTTTTATGAATACAGACTTTTTGCCTTAGCTCCTAAATTGGCACTAAGCCGTTACACTTTAATTTCAGCTTATTTCATACATACTTTATTATAGCAATATATAAATATAGTGTTTCTACAATCAAACGTTAGCTTAAAGCTGCAGTATGTTAACAATTATAAAAGGTATTTTCGTACATATTTGTTAAAGCTGTTAGCATATTATGACGGTTTTTATATGAGACAGATATTCTGTGAAAAGGTTGGTCTCCTCCACCTCCTTCCTGAGCTACTATTGTCATGTGAGGAAATGCACCACACCCGACCATAAACAACCAATCAGAGCCAGGAGGGGGTTTCAGCGCTGTCAATCATTCTCATGAATACTCTGCTAAATGTGCTAATGGCGGAGAAACAACTCATCGTTATCCACCATCATCTGAGGCCATGCTAACTATCCTTAGCATTCACAACAACAGACTCTGCCGATGAGGAGAAGCTGCACTGTAGCAGAGAGGCACGTACATGGGCATGAGTGGCAGCGTTAAGACCCTCCTCCTGGCTCTGATTGGTTGTTTCTAGTTAGTATTAGACGCACTGGGAAAAGGCAGATTCGCAGATTAGCTGTATCCTGTCACGACATAGTGACAGTTTCAACAAATGTCAAAAAAAATGTTTTTATAAAAGTTACATACTGCAGCTTTAAGGAGTGCCAAAAAAAAAAAAAAGAAATCTTGTGAAGTAAATCTCTTTCCCCTCCTTCCTGCAGTGGTAAATGTAGGTCTCACTCTATCCAAATCCTAAACAGTCAACAGTGATTGATTGTGTAAGCCAGCAGAGGAACCACGAGCTAAGAGGATTTTGACAGTCCCCATATATTAAGACCAGAGAGCTTTTTCAGTCCCTGCTGTCATCATTACAAGAACAAGCCTCACTCAAACTGATCTTCCAGCCTATAATAAATCACTCTAATTTAACTTTTTGTTGTGAGGACAATTCGGTCTCTGTGCTGCTGTCTTTTTTTTTTTTCCAGTTTTTTTCTTCCTATCTGACGGTGGAGACGCACTGACATTATTCATAATTCAGGTCAGCTTTTGAACAGCAGTTCATGTGTCGCAATTTAATGGTGAATATGTCACACACTTGTCATGTATTACGGGCACGTTAAGGGCATTAAACACTTGTAGGGCCTTCAGGGACAAGTCATTAGTGATGAATATTAAACCTCCCACATGTGGCGCGTTAGAGACACTTACGTCCCCACTATACCTTTGATGAATAGCGTCATCTAATCATCTTTGCCACTGGAACATAACAGGGGAAGAACAAAGCTTCATCTCCAGTAACTCTGCACGGCTACAGAGGGGGACATTCAAGCATTATTGTTCTGCACTCAAAGTGTAAGTAATAGGAGCTATTACGGGGCTCATAGACAGGCCTGTAGGAGGAGGATATTAGAATTCGAGATTACTTAGAAAACCTTTGTTTCTACAAGCACCCAGCAATTCAACATGCATTATGCCCATAGTGCCATTACATGCCACTTGAGTCTCCCTCCTGACAAGCAGAGATAATAAGGATGAAGAGACCCAAACAAGATAAAGGTAAAAGCTACAAACAAGCAGGTGAGAATGTTTTTATTTTGCAAATCAGATCCTCTAATTACCACCATCTGTTGTCTGAAGGGTGATGGTGGTGGTGGGGAGGAGTGGATGAAGTGTTGCGTTCTGAATTGGCAATTAAAGATAAATAAGCAGTGCAACAGAAGGAATCTATTATTTTTCCTATGAGGGTAACACATGCAGATTAGGTGTGTTTGACACGTTTTGGTTTATTTGAGCAACATTCTCTCTTGTACTTTTGTTCTTTTTTCACTCGTATGGTCTCTGTTGAATGGATGGTAATTAAAGCTTTTAATTTATACATAACTTCTGATTTAACGATAATAGTTCAAATAATGTAAAAAAAAAAATGCTTCTTTAAAAATGTGGACGCTGACATTGTCATTGAGGACGTCTGTGCTGTAGCAACATGTTTAGCATCGAGATGCTATTTGAGGCTTGAAGAGCTTCACTGACTGGCTAACTAATTTCAGCACAGCTTGCACACAACAATAGTCTTTTCCAGAGTTAAATCGCTTTTTAAAGCAAAAATTAACCCTCAGTGGGCAAAGAGAAACTGGTTCAATGTTGTTGTTTACGAATGTCGCTTGTGCGTCAGGTTCACTGGTGTACCATAAACATGCGACTACAAAGGTTCTGGCTGGAAGATTTGGATGTAAAAACATGTGATTGTTTTCCCAAAAAGTTTACAAATGTGTAAAATAATTAATTAAAAATAAAATAACATTAAAATATATGTTAGCGGTGCTGTCATTTGATTAAAAGACTTAGTCTGATTAGTCACACTCTAGCACTGTGATTAATCACTGTTAATCACTATGCTTGGCTTCGCAAGTTCAAACTGTAAAAATTGCACTCTT